TCCAAAACCTTTTGAAACTTGAATGTTGTAAGAAATCCTAAGGGAAACAATACATATTTAAGCGTGCAAGGAATTGGCACAAAGAATTATCTTTATATCTTGAATTCACAAATTGAAAAAAGTAATTCAAACAAGGGAAGAGAGTAGCTTAGTTATTTTGAATAGATTTGGTCTAAAAGATTTAAGATAAGTGTAAAATTACTGGTTTTTTGCTCACAAATTTCGAAGAAAAAGCTTTATATATTTTTGAAAACCAAATCCTAACCTGGCTAAAGTTTTACTCTCTAATTAAATTACATATTGAAATATTTCATATACATATATATTATCCTTAGTGAGCTAGTTGTCAGGAGGTACACAAACCGTAGTAACCGTGCACTATATGCAGATAGATGTATTTATGTGTTGTCACATACACACACACACATATATAAATATTGCATGCTTATACAAGGATTATATACAGTTAGTTCACCATTCCTTATTTAAATATTAAGCATAGTTATCTTATCATTTTATTCCATTTCTTTATCCTTGTAAAATCTAATGGGTCTCATTGTGGTCATCATGAAGAATGACTTGTAAATGAATACAGAATATTAATAGATTGAATTTTGTGGATATATGATTTATATGTTATCTATCTTCTTTTTATCTTATTTCTTGAAGATATCTCTCAAATTATTGGTTGATTTGTTGTCCTTATTGTTCAGTATACGGATGAAGAGGTTGAACGGTGTTATGAAGAATTTTATGAAGATGTGCATACAGAGTTCTTAAAATTTGGGGAAATTGTGAATTTCAAGGTTGCATACTGCTCTTCCTGCCCTGCTAATGATGTCTATAACTTGCTTTCAAGCTGACCTATAAATTGAAGCATTCTGCAACTTGCTTTTCTTTTTTGACCATTATTTTATTGGATATTTTATGATGGATTTTGTTTAATGAGTACAGTCAAAATGTAACCAAAATTGACAAATGTTTTCTCTTTCTTTTTCTACTCAAAATTAACAAAACCTTTAGTCAGTTCTCAAGATGATTGAAATTGTGTAGGCATGTTAGTTGTTCTCTTCTCTATGTTTGGTGGCTGGACTTTTTTACTTTCCATTTTTTAGGTTACTAATTGTGATGTCTTGGTCAGGTGTGTAAAAATGGTGCATTCCACTTGAGGGGAAACGTGTATGTACATTATAAGATGCTAGAATCAGCCGTCCTTGCTTATCACTCTATCAACGGGCGATACTTTGCTGGCAAACAGGTAATTCTTTCCCTCTAAGATTTAATTAAATGCCATTGCCACAAGGAAATACAGAAACATGTGAAAACTGAAAATTTTGGTTTAGTCTCGGGTTGTGATAAATTTAATTAAGTATTGGACTGTTTTTTTTGTGTTTTAGCCTTCTATTTTCCATTATTGGTGGAATTACTTTAATGCTGGCATTTGAAAGATATTTGTTGTTTAGAATATTGTATTACCTTTTTCTTGGGTATTTGGAACATGGAACAATCTTTTAAATGAAATGAAGAAAAAGTGATATGGGTATCCTTACTCCTATGCAGTATTTTATTGACCACAAATGAAATATTTGCTGGCAATTGCATTTGTTTGTGAGAGCTATTATGAATGGACACTACATTCTTGTCTTGAGATGCAGATATGCATGGCTAGCTCTTAAGAATATAAAACCAATTACCATATCCATGGGTCTATTTTCGCTTTCTGGTTTCTTAAATTCTTGTGGTTTCATGATAGGTAAAGTGTGAGTTTGTCAACCTTACCAGATGGAAGGTTGCCATTTGTGGGGAATTTATGAAGTCAAGACTCAAGGTACTTCCAGCTTCCTCATTTCATGCAACAATAGTGAGATTAATTTCTTCATTGGCTTTCATTTGTTTTCATCTGTGCATGATTTGTTGGATTGAGATATTGCAAAAGAGAAAAAGAAAAAAGACCAGCAAAATTATTTTGTGTTTTCTTATAGATGCTAATTCCAAAAGATAGTGTTCTTTCTAAATGATGATCTGTTTTATCTCATATTAACAGACTTGTTCTCATGGAACTGCCTGCAATTTTATTCACTGTTTCCGCAACCCTGGTGGAGACTATGAATGGGCAGATTGGGACAAACCACCCCCAAGATATTGGGTGAAAAAGATGGGTGCTTTATTTGGATATACTGATGAAGCTGGTTTTGAGAAACAGATAGCGCAAGAGCATTCACGGCAGTCAAGGAACCCTAGCCGGATGATAAAATCAGATGCTGACAGGTACACAATTTTAATTGTTGGAATAACTGTGACTTTTGGTTTTATCATGTTGCTCTATGCTTCATGTTGATGTTGTCTGTTTTTAATAAAATTTCTTACATGTTAACGGTGGTAGAATGTTTGGATTTTAGATTTGTTGTTTGTCTGTTACAATTTTACTCCTTTAGGTTTAAAATTGAAGTCCATTGTCCTACATTTGGTAAGGGTTTGTTCAATGTCTCATTATTTTCTAATTTCCGTGGTAGGCACTGCTCAAGAAGATCAAAATCCAGGGAGATGAATCGTTTGACTGGTGGTGCTGATGGAAGGCCTTGCAACAAAGATGATGTTGAAGAGAGCAGTCGTAGTCAAAGGGGCAAGAATAATGATAAAAAGCAAACAAAAAGTTTAGATGGAAGATCATATAGAGAGAACCAAAGTTTAAGATGGGATCAAAACAGTGAGAAAAGCCATGATACCAGTTCTGATGGAGGTTATTCAGACAGCAAAAGGGGCAAGAAATATGACAGAAAACGAACCAAAACTTTAGATGGAAGATCAGACAGACAGAGAAGTTTAAAATGGGACCAAAACAGTGAGGAAATCCATGATACCAGTTCTGATGGAAGCTACTCAGACAGCAAAAGGGGCAAGAAAAATGACAGAAAACAAGAAAAAGTTTTAGATGGAGGAAGATCAGACAGGCAGAGAAGTTTAAAGTGGGATGAAAACAGTGAGAAAATCCATGATACTAGTTCTGATGGAGGTTACTCAGACGGTAAAAGGGGCAAGAAAAATGACAGAAAACAAGCAAAAACTTTGGATGGAAGATCAGACAGACAGAGAAGTTTAAAATGGGATGAAAACAGTGAGAAAATCCATGATACCGGTTCTGATGGAGGTTACTCAGACAGCAGAAGGGGCAAGAAAAATGACAGAAAACGAGCAAAAGGTTTAGATGAAGGAAGATCACACAGACAGAGAAGGTTAACATGGGATCAAAACAGTGAGGAAATCCATGATAACAGTTCTGATGGAGGTTACTCAGACAGTAAAAGGGGCAAGAAAAGTGACAGAAAACGAGCAAAAACTTTGGATGGAAGATCAGGCAGACGAAGAAGTTTAAAATGGGATGAAAACAGTGAGAAAATCCATGATACCGGTTCTGATGGGGGTTACTCAGACAGCAAAAGGGGCAAGAAAAATGACAGAAAAAATCTTAGATGGAAGATCAGACAGAGACAGAAATTTAAAATGGGATCAAAACAGAGAGAGAACCCTTGATACAAGTTCTGATGAAGGTTATTCAGGGAGGGACATTGATGCAGCTAGAGATACTGATGAAGTTAGACACCGTTGTCATGCAAAGAAACATTCAAAACACCAGAGTGGATCACTGGAATACTTGGCTGACAATAGGAACTTCAAGAACAGAGACCATGAAGACACAGAAAATTCCCCTGCTCAGACCAAGAAAAGGACTAGGCATAGGAGTAGTAAAGGGGGATAAACAAAATGACTATGGAAATTTTGTATTTTACTGAAAATTAATCACTAAATAGATGTTTTATTGATTTTTTTCCTCAGTATTTTACATTGGTGAAAGTTAAAAAGGAAAAGTAAAAAATTAGAAAGGAAAAGATTTTAAGGTTACTGTAGTTAAATGGCAAAATTTTTCTTAAATATTACATTTTGGATATTTTTTTATTAAAAATATTTTATTTAAGTGGCTTTTAAAATGAATTATAAAATGCTTTGAAATTGAAAATTTTTTATTTTAATTTAATTATTTATTAAACATGATCAAAATAATAACCTTTTTTTGGGGGTTTCATTTAGTCTCAACCCTTGAATGTTGCATTTGAGTTTTTAATTTTTAAATGATTTTATTTTGATCTTTTTATTAAATTAATTTTTTAAAATTGATGTAATATCATGTTACAGTGACGATAATATATATATGTATATATATATATATATATATTCGTAATAAAATTATTAAAATATTTTTATATTAAAAGTTAGTATATTTGTTCATAATTAAAGGTATTTTCGTAATTTTAGTAGATGAAATTAATGGTGTCATTTAATTGAATTTATCAATAGGAGATTATCTGAGAAAAAAATAAATTATAGAGTGCCAGGTGAAAAAAATTAAAATTATAATAGATGTAGGCAAGTTTATTATAAAATTGATTATAATTTTTGTAATTTTTATTATTTTTTAATCATTTTAATATTGATATTTTCATATCCTTCTATATATTATAGGAATCGATAAATTTACAATTTGATACAAATATCGGATATCATCCAATCCCTTGGATAACACATACCACTTTATGTGAGTTGGGTCGGGTTTAGATTGACTCACTTTGAGTTGAAAAAGAAAATTGAATAATTTTTAAATTTGCTTAGTTTTGAGTTCCAAGTAATTTTAGATTCAAATCATTAATTTTTAAAATATAATTTATTAAAATTTAAATGATTTCAAATTATTCAGATTTAGGTTTTATTATAATCAATTATTTTGATATTAAGTTGATTACGAGTTTGAATTGTTTCAAATTCATATTATACAGATTCAAATTATTAATTTTTTTAATCAAACTCTAATTGGAACTTAGGTAGAATGTAAAAATTGAAAAAAAAACTGCAAGGGTAGTTAGTATAAATATTGAATATTTCGGGGTCTTTTCGTAATTAGATCTTTTCTAAGTGGACGGCTTGGGTATTCCTTCTTCAGGTATTGTCTCCTTTTCCCCTGGTTGCCGCCGCTCTTTTGCCCTTTTGGCCAAAGATATCGTGGAGATTAATAAATGGGGTCGTTGAAGAGGAAGTCGGAAGGAGAAGAGGCATCCTCGGAGTCTCCTCAGCCGCAGAAACAACACAAGGTAGATGGCTTAGTCATGGCGGAGGAAGCCGTGGGGTGTGTACATGAAGTTTCATACCCAGATGGTTATGTTCCTTCAACTTCCCCTACAGTTCCAGCTGACACTAAACCGGCCAAGGAATTCCCTTTTATTCTCGACCCTTTTCAGTCTGAAGCTATCAAATGCCTCGATAATGGCCAATCTGTCATGGTAAACGTTCTTTTTCTTTCTTTCTCTTCTTTTGGAATTATATAAATTCCAGAAAGTACAGAAAGTGAAATTCTAATTTTAAAACAGGTGTCAGCACATACATCAGCCGGGAAAACTGTAGTAGCGTTATATGCTATTGCTATGTCTTTGCGGAATAACCAGCGGGTTATATATACTTCACCTATTAAGGCTCTCAGCAACCAAAAGTATAGAGAGTTTAAAGAAGAGTTTTCTGATGTTGGTTTGATGACTGGAGACGTTACAATTGACCCTAATGCTTCTTGCTTGGTTGGTATTTTACTTGGTATCAGTTTGATGTTTTTTTTTAGTTTATTATTTGATTTCTTAGTCTTTCCTCTGAGAGGTTGTTTGATTGCAGGTGATGACCACGGAAATCTGGCGTAGTATGCAGTATAAAGGGTCGGAGGTTGTTCGGGAGGTGGCATGGATTGTTTTTGATGAAGTGCACTACATGCGTGATCGTGAAAGAGGTGTTGTGTGGGAAGAGAGTATTGTTATGGCACCAAAGAACTCTCGGTTTGTATTTCTTTCAGCAACTGTGCCTAATGCAAAGGAATTTGCTGATTGGGTGGCAAAGGTGATTAATCCTTGCTTGAATATATTCATCAACTTTCAAGTTGAAAATAATTAATGAATGCTTATTAACCAGCATAACTTCATTAGTCTTAGTAGGCTATATATGCGACATGTGAAAGCTTGATTTTATAGCTTGGTAGTTTTGTCCTCCATAAATTGATAGTAGGAAGGTTTTCTTTGAGGAACTACAAAGAGGAGAACATTAAAAATTAAAACTACATACATCAGTCCAACTCAAGTGCTTGAGTTTAAATCTGATTATTACAGCATAATTCATTTTAAGTGCCTGTGAAGCTACTGCCTTAGCATTTTTAGTCTTCCTGTCAGTGCAACCCTTGATTATACTATTTTGATATTGAAGTGGCTAGGACCTGCCAGCATAGAGATAAAGACTGGTGTGTTTGCTTTAGCCTATGAAGAGGAGCTTTTACATTCTGACAACATTGGATTTCTTTTGGGGTTATTTTTTTAAACCTGTTCTTTTTGAAATTGTTTTGCAATTTGTTGTGATTTGGGTGAAATATGGCATGGTGAAGGACACAAATTTAAGAGCCATGCTGTATGAATTCTTCTAGTTGCAAAACATGTGAAGGATCCACCTATGAATTGTGAAAATTATACTTGTAAATGGTGATTAAATGTGTATTGGAAAGTAATGGACAAAAAAGTATAGAGGGAGCTAGACCCCTCTTGAACAACCAAGAGAATTGTATGGAAAAATAAATAAAATTCTTCGATGTTAATCCTTCAAAAAGAAATAAAAAGAAAAACAAAGATATCAAATAGCATAATAACTTTGCCTTTTCTTTTCCTTTAAAGCTTTCCTATGTGAAATATCAGCCCTAATCCTGATGGTCCCTGCTGCTGATTCTTGTGAATGGATTTTGTGCATAAGAAATGATTATGAATCCTGATGACATTATGCACATTTTTCCGAGTTGGCTGTTTTTTGAATCAAGCACATTAGATTATATTGCTAGGTGCTTCTATAAACCATTATTTTGTAGCTTGTTTAATTGTAAAAATGTCTGCTTATTTTGGTTCTATGACTGCAGGTTCACAACCAACCATGCCACATTGTTTGCACCGATTATCGACCAACACCTCTTCAGCATTATATTTTCCCTGCTGGAGGTGATGGTCTATTTTTGGTGGTAGATGAGAAAGGAAAATTTCGTGAGGATAGCTTTCAGAAAGCTTTAAATGCTCTAGTTCCTACAAGTGAGAGTAACAAGAAAAGAGATAATGGTAAATCACAGAAGGGGTTAGTGATGGGAAAAGTTAGTGAACAAAGTGACATCTTTAAGTTGGTGAAAATGATCATTCAGCGACAGTATGACCCTGTGATAATTTTCAGCTTTAGCAAAAGGGAATGTGAATTTCTTGCAATGCAGGTGGGTTTTCTTTTCTTTTTTTGGTTTTTTGGTCTTAAGGGAGGGGGGGGGGGGGGGGGGGGGGGTGACTGTAAAAGCCTTTTTGTTTTTTTCTTTTTATAAGTATATTATTGGTATGGGATATGGAAGACATGGATGGATGGCATGTCTTGTTTCCTCTTACAAATCAAACGATGCCTAACTATTAGTAGCTTTCTTTATAGTATGTTTTAAAAAGAATTGCTGCTCAGCATTATGCTATATATAATGTAATGCTGGCAAGTTAGTATTAGATGTATGCTGTCATAGTTTTTGGATTACTAACAATTCAAGTTTGGCCAAGTGGTTGTTGCTTTACCAATAAGAGTTTGCGAAGATTCATTTCCTCCTTTCATTTTCTTGTCCTTGTCCAAAAGTACTGATTTTTTTTTTTAAATATGTTATGTTCTTTAGGCAAATTCACCACTTTTTCTGTCTTTTTTTTTTTTTTACTATATCCAAAGTATGTGAGCATCTTGTTCTTTGTCTATGTTTTTAACTGTAGATGGCAAAGATGGATTTAAATGATGATGATGAGAAAGGAAACATAGAAACAATCTTTTGGAGTGCCATGGATATGCTTTCCGATGATGATAAGAAGCTACCTCAGGCAAGTTGTTGTTCCTCTTCTTCCAAATGCTTGATATGTGTATGAATGTGAACTTATACTTGTATGCACATGTATGCATGCAGATGCATGTGTATGTCTGTTTGTAGAGCTCTAATTTTATGATTATTACCTGGTTAACAAATGGAGAGTTAGTTATGTCAATCAGGATCTTGTGCCCTTTATTAGGTACTTCCGGCCATACATCCTTTAAGTTGTGAACATTTAGTCAACTGTGATTTCTTTCTTTTTGAGAATGTAGTCAACTGTGATTTAAGCTGTTGTTTCTGGGGTTTTTTTGGGTAACATTTCCTATTTCTCGAATTTTAAGTATTTAAATATTCTTTATATACTTTTTTTGTCTGGGCACTTCCAAAGTAATGGAAACAATTTGAAATTTTGTTTTCGGTTTTGATTTATATATTTATTTTTTAAATGTTGATACTAAATACTTGCCTTTTTCATTTAAAAAAAAATCAAAAGAAGAAACACTCAGAAACAAAAATAGAAAATCAAAACTGTATCAAATGGAGCCTACAGTTGCTCCTAATATTTGATGAATGTGTTTCGACATTGAGATCTACATTTTATATCTATCATTTACTTTTATTCTGAGCATGTTATGACTTGTTCTTTTGTTTTACTCAGCTTTTTGTTATGCCTTTTATCATATCCTCTTACAGGTATCAAACATGTTACCCCTTTTGAAACGTGGAATAGGTGTGCATCATTCTGGCTTGCTTCCCATTCTAAAGGAAGTGATTGAGATATTATTTCAGGAAGGGCTGATTAAGGTTCGGAGTACAAACTCAATTTTTGATTCTTTAAGTTAGTGATATATTTAAGGTTTAAGATTGGCCATAATATTATCTATAATTAAGTACTAAATTTGCCTACAGTTGTGGAATCTTCAATTATCAAATTGCATGGTTAACTATTAGTCTGCTAGCTAGGTTGTATGTGTTCCTTGCTCACATTTTGAAGTCTATTTTCCAAAATGTTTTGCTGTTATTCACTATACTATTCTTGTTTCGTGATTTTTACCTAGTTGTTCATTTGAGTGTCTGAAGTGTTTTTGTATCATATGATTTGATAGTCTGAAACTTCTCACTCTTTTTAACCTGGTCTATTTTGTTTCTTGAATTTGTCTTTGGCAAATGCTTATAGTAAGTATCTTTTTAGTATATCCGGTCATGCATATGTGCACACACAAGCATTACATCTGTGGAAAGTATGTGAATGCCTGGCCACCTTTTTGCCCTTTGTTATGTGACCTTCAATTTGATCACTTTTTTTTGAACAGACTGATTTAAATAAATATTGTGAGCCCGAGACTTCTATGCACTTTCTGAGTACTATATAATTTCAGGTCAATTTATATTGGTTCTGTATTATGTTAAACATCTCAGAACAAAATATTGCTTGTTTGGCTGTAGAAAAAAAAAATCTTTTCCTTTTTTTTTGGCTATTTCTTTTGATTCTTCTTTTGCCAAAAGTTCAAAGATTGAAACATATTTCTTCAGTGTTTGTTTGCCACAGAGACCTTCAGTATTGGGTTAAACATGCCTGCTAAAACTGTTGTGTTTACAAATGTTCGTAAATTTGATGGGGACAAGTTTAGATGGATATCTAGTGGAGAGTACATACAAATGAGTGGCCGTGCTGGTCGTCGAGGTATTGATGCACGTGGAATATGCATTCTTATGGTGGATGAAAGGATGGAACCATCTACTGCTAAAACAATGCTCAAGGGAAATGCTGATAGTTTGAACAGGTATGTTTGCTTTACCTGATGCAAAATGTTTAACTTAGTAAAAGTGGTTCTCTTGATTTAATGATACTTTGGATTAATGGTGTATTTCCAATAATTCAGTTTTACAGGTTTCATGCTGCAGAACATTCATTCATGATACTTGTTAGTTTATAATGATGTCATAACTGCAGATTTTTTTTCTTTTCCATTCGAAAAGGAACTTTGGGAGGGACTGATTTGTTTACACCAAATCAGACCATGAAAGGTTTTGTGGCCATGATTAAAAATTCCAGTTCCTGGGCTGTGTTTAGTAGGAAAGATGGAAAAGGGAAGCAATAAAGAAGTTGGGAGAGATAGAAATTGAAAGGGGAACAGACATTTTTTTTTTGCACTATTAAAAGTGAAGGTTCTCAGCATTTCTAGCTTTATTTTAACATAAACAGAACTCAGTAATGTTATGTGTAACACCTACTGACAGCAAAATTTGCATAAGTAATCCTTTGTTCTGGGGTTCTCAACTTGGAAAAGGGGAAAAACGTTCTCTGTTAGGGGAACAATCATTTTGAGGTAACATTCAGATTGTTGTAGTTGCTGGTAGCTGATATCTAGTTAGACATTCTTCTTGATAGCAACTATATCATTTTGTTGTAAATTAGGATGATGGTTAACTGCTAATAAATTAGGGTGTTAACGTCACTGGACAAAGACTGACTGGTTCAAACTTGATTTAAAGGATGCTGCAGTGGAGAAATTAAAATTCCATAATCAAAGAATTATGAATTTTCCATCCAAAAGAAAAAGAATTAAGGATTTAACTGGTGCTTTTCCATTTCATTTCAGTGCCTTCCACCTAAGCTACAATATGCTATTGAATCAATTGCGCTGTGAAGATGCTGATCCTGAAAGTATGCTTCGTAATTCGTTCTATCAGTTTCAAGCTGATCGTGCAATTCCTGACCTTGAGGTCAGTTGTTATTAGATTACAGAATTGTTTAATTTTATGTTGATCTCTTGATTATGGTTATCCGGTTTTTGAATATTGAAACTGATTTTAATATTATTTACATTATTGGTAATCAATAGCAGAGAGTAAAAATATAAGGTATCAGTTGTTCTTGGAGACAAAAAGTAATTGTTAGTTTTTAAGCCAACAAATTGCTATCCGGTGGTTAGCATTCTCTCAAAAGGCATTTACTTTTAAAGGTTCTCCATGGTTGGAGTGGAAAGGGGCTAGAAATCTAGAGGAGCAAAAAGGCAGATGGTGAAATATTCCACCTCTGGAGCTATAGAAAAGGAGCACCGTGTTAGTGCTAGTGTGTACTTTGTGTATAACCATACAAAAAAAAAAAGTGATGGGACCTAAGAAGAAAGATCATACATTTCTGTGTTGTTTTTGGATATTCTTTTAAGTGTACATTTCTAGTAACTGAAAAATCTGATTTTTTGATAACTATGAACTCTTCTCTAATGCAAACCAAAAATGCGTAAGATTTTTAAGCTATTTAACTATTTTTAGAGCTTTTCTCAATTAATCTGATGCAAGATATTATATTTTGCAGAAACAAATAAAGGTTCTGGAAGAAGAGAGGGATTCCATGATAATTGAAGAAGAAGATAGTTTGAAGAATTATTACAATCTGATTCGGCAATACAAAAGTTTGAAAAATGATGTTCGTGATATCGTGTTTTCTCCAAAGTATTGCTTACCCTATATGAAATCTGGCAGGCCAGTATGTATACAATGCATTGATGATGAAAAATCGCTATCTTTCTCCATTGAGGACTGTGTTACCTGGGGTGTTTTAATGGACTTCCATAGAGTAAAAAGTGTTGTTGAAGGTGACAACACAAGTTGATCCCTTGTAATTGTCAAACAGTGCCTTAACATTTCGAGTTAAATTAATTGCAAATATGTCAAATTCTTGATGCAGATGATGCCAGCAGAAGGCCGGAAGATGCAAGCTATGCCCTTGATATTCTTACAAGATGTGCTGTGAGCAAAGATGGTTTTGGAAAGAAAAAAATTAAGATTGTCCCTTTGAAAGAGCCTGGGGAACCGCTTGTTGTTTCTGTGCCTCTCTCTCAGGTAAATTCCCGTACTTCTTGGTTATTTACATATTCTCAGTTCAGGGGGCATGCATAATAAGTTAAAATAGTGAAATTTATGTTGTTTTTCTTTTAAAAGTATCAAAACAGTTGTAAAGATAACTTCAACAACTATGGAATCTCACAGAAGGGAAATGTCATGGCTACATGCAATGTGCATATAAAAAATGCACATCGGTCACCTGACATTCAGAGTGTACAGAACAAAAACAGGACATATTTACAAGTATCTGTATTCTGTACTCATGCATGCATTTAATGCCTATAGGCATATACCTTTTCATTTCATGTGTGTGCAGAGCCAATTACCTTCCCCCATCCTCTCGCCCCTGTCCCCCAACGTATTCAATATGCAGTATTGTAATAGAGTACCATAACTACTAATTATTAATGAGGTGAACAATCATTATCTATGTTATTTGTTTTGTTTTGTTTTTACATTGGAATTTCTGATTACAATCTTTGGACCCTTCTTGGATTTTTGGTTCCAGCTATGCAACTGATTATATTAGTATAAACAGTTAATAGGAATATGCTTCTAACTTACTTTTTGGTCTTGTTGAAACTAATCTCCATCCAGTGAAGGAAGAATTTAATTTGTTATTTTATGCCTTGAACAGGTTATCAGTCTAAGTAGTGCACGCTTGAACATACCCAAAGATCTTCTGCCATTAGAAGCTCGAGAGAATGCCTTGAAGAAGCTTTTAGAATTTATTTCTAGATATGCTAATGGGATGCCCCTGGAACCCGAAGAGATGAATGTATATGTTTAATTTTTTCTTCATGATATTTTCTGAAGAAAATATAAGATTTTGCTTTGTTCTTTCTATTCTTTTGTCTTTGGATTAATTATCAAATTATTTTGCTATTTCTCAGATACAAAGTAACTCGTACAAAAAGGCAGTCCGTAGGTTGGAGGCATTAGAGAACCTGTTTGAAAAACATGAAATTGCAAAATCCCCACTTATTGAGCAAAAGCTTAAAGTTCTGAACAGAAAGGAAGAATTGACAGCCAAGATCAGGTCAATTAAGAAAACAATGCGTTCTTCCACTGAATTGGCTTTTAAAGATGAGCTTAAGGCCAGAAAACGGGTTCTAAGGAGGCTAGGGTAAAAAGTCATTTCTCTATCATTGCTTCTCTTTTGTTGTCTAATTTTCCTTGTGTCATGGTTTCATAACTTGATAGCTCTGCTTAGCATTGAAATTTCTTTTACTCTGGAGCTCTAGTTACTGCTTTTTATTGTTTTTTCAGTCTTAGAGAACACAAGATGATCAGCAGTTATTTTCTGCAATCAAAATGAAGATCCTCAATCCTCATTTTTTTTTAATTTGGCAGAATAGGATTTGCCATTTGCAACGACTTTTTTCTAAAGCATATCTCTCTAGTCCTTTCTCAACTTCTAAAAGAATATAAATAATCAAATGTTGCTTTAATATTTATGGTTGTAAATGCTTAATGATGCCTGTAGTTTGTTATGAATTGTCTATTACATTCTCCTTTCACTCAAATTTACTCTTGGCTCAAGCTATTTAACTTAAAGCTAACTATATCCTTTTGTGGTTTTAATATTAATGGGTAATTCTTCATAACGATTAAGCTTGTTGCACAAAGACCTATTCTCCTTATATTTTTCTCTTATACTGGACATGGTTGCAGATATATTACGAATGATGATGTTGTTGAGTTGAAGGGCAAGGTTGCTTGTGAGATCAGTAGTGCTGATGAGTTGACTCTGACAGAGCTAATGTTCAGTGGGATTTTTAAGGATGTAAAGGCAGAAGAAATGGTGTCTCTGCTCTCTTGTCTTGTTTGGCAGGAGAAGCTTCAGGATGCTGCAAAGCCAAGGGAAGAACTTGAGTTGCTCTTTACACAACTACAAGATACAGCACGAAGGACTGCAAAAGTTCAACTTGAGTGCAAGGTATAGTAGAAACTTCTTCTTGCTATGCTTTTTTGTTTGTTTCCATGTTATGTTTGTAGTCTCGGTTTTGGATTTTGGAAAGCAAGCTAGATAAGATTCCTGGGAGGGTTTTGGAACTCAAGTCAGGTGAGTATAGATGTTTGGTTTTGAGTTTAAGTATAAAAATTTGAGGCCCGATGGTGTCATTTGGGTCATTATCTTTCGATATATTTGGACAAGGCCAGATGGGAGGGAGAATTGAACCCTGGACCTTGATCCTCCATTGTATGGGTATTGGGTAACAACCATTGGGCGATTGTTGGGTTGTTTTGAAGCAGGCTTTTCTTGTCATGAGGAAAATGTCTAATTATACTGGGTTGTCCTCTGTCCAACTTGGTTGTTGAGCTCAAACAAGCTCAGTTCAGAAAGAAAGGTTGCAGTTTAATTTTCTCATTTAAGATTCTGACTTAGGATGTTTAGTTATTTTAATTTGTATTTTTTATCTAAAAACCCAATTCACCCTGAATTTAGGACCATGTCAATAACAATAATTAAGAAGGCTTTCTTGTTCTCTGTGTATGGTACAGAGAACTAGATTAGAAAGCAAAGGCGGAAACAAAAAAATGTAACAAAATGTGGTTCGCAGAAGGAACTATTCCTCTTTTTCTCAGAACAGCTACCATACTAGCTTTGATTTAGGGAGCAGTTTTTCAGAAGATAGGGAACCAACACATGCCCAACTGTATCTTCCGTCCATCAGCCCAGACACCATACTGTCCGCTTAGAATTGAGACATTCTTTGATTTTGCCGTGGTAGCAGTCATAAGTGATTACAGCTGAGCTGGTGGTTTCAATGTTGTATTGCAAGAGAACTTATACTCAGACTTACAGGAAGTGTTTCTCCATTTACAGGTCCAAATTGATGTGGAAAGCTTTGTAAGTTCATTTCGACCTGATATTATGGAAGCTGTATATGCCTGGGCAAAAGGATCCAAGTTCTATGAGATTATGGAAATTACTCAGGTCTTTGAGGGCAGCTTAATCAGAGCTATCAGAAGACTTGAAGAAGTTCTTCAGCAGCTTATTTCAGCAGCCAAGTCTATTGGAGAGACAGAGCTCGAGTCAAAATTCGAAGAGGCTGTCTCTAAGATTAAAAGAGACATAGTATTTGCAGCATCTCTATACTTGTAGTTCAGTTGCGGGGCAAGGATCAAGGTAGTTCAATCAAGAAGATCATTTCTGGTGGGAAATTTTCCTTTTATTCAGTAAGCTGAGTTAAAAAGCAAATGTGAATCAAGGGGAGGGAAGATTACCTGCAAAGTGATGCCCCATGGGGCATTTTCTCGGACGATAGACGAAGATGGATGAAATTCTATGTTACGCAGTCTGCAACATTTCTTGCCTTGTAAGTTATTTCTCCCTCAACATATTTGCATGCAGCAGCCTATAACAAAAGTGTCCTAGAATTCAGAGAGAGTAAGATGCTATAACTATTCTTGACACATGATTGCTCACAATCCCTAATGTTATATTTACTCATGTACCATGCTGTACAATATTACAGTTGAGAAGTTTTTCTTTCTGCTTCAAGCTTCTTCTATGCCATTTTTGGTTGAGCTAACTTTTAGTGAATTGAGAGCATTACTTCACTACCCAATTTTGCTGATGTGATATTTTTTTATAATTAGTTGAGATTTCATGAGTCCTGAATGAAGCTATTTGATTTGGCATTTGTGGTTTAATTTTGTTCTTAATTTTCCATTGGATATTCTGTGAATTATTAAATCGAGATACGTTTCGTATATCAAAATTTTATTTTGAAGATCGAGTATTTTATTATAAAATAAAAGATAAACATTTTAAAAATTAATTGTAAATAACATGTTCTTTAATAGCATATATTTTTAAAATAAGAGATGTATTTTTGGTGTAGTTCATGCTATACTCAGTATATCATATTGTACATTCCCAAGACTTAAAAATAATATCACAATATAGTTATCTCCAAATAAGATAACTTGATTTTAAATTTAAGGATAAATTACACACTATTGCAGTGGTGTTTGAGGGACGAATGTTGAGTCTCAAGGCGATGGGGTAATGGGATTTGGAAAATAATTTTATTATATTAAGTTTTATTTTAATCTTAAGACTATTAAAATTAGTCAATTATTACTGGATTATGAAATTTTAAAAATTTTGAGAACAGGTTTCTACTATTGCCATCTTTTTTTGTCATTGCATGACTAACACATGAACATTTTTATTAATACGTGAATGATATAATAAATAGAATTTTCATAGTTTATTTTTACATAGATTTTAAATATTTTAATATTTAATATTATCAATATCTTATTATGATAAAAGTATAGTGCTCGTAAGTAAATAACTGTAGAAAAGTAGCTAAGCTTATAATTGTAATGGGAAATTATCCAAAATTTTAATTCTCCCCATTATAGAATTAATGTCTTAATTGGTTCGATGATTTCAAGGCAACCACCGAAGCCGAAGGTGTTCCATTTTTGTGTTTGACGTTGCGCGTGCCCTTCGACAGTTTCCACTGTCGTTTCCTAACTATAGATTTTCTCCACTCAATCATCATCAGCCAAGCCTGACGACAGATAATGCTATCACCTTATTGTACTTTTAGGGTTCAAGGTAAGTCAAACCCTGTTAGAACCAAAAGTCAAATCTATCAAGCGTATGTTCCTAAGTACGGCCGCACGAGATAAAACCCCAGAGGAGGACAATTTTGTACTCTTATATCCCGAGGTGCAAATCTAGGCGAAAACTTCAAAATCCGTAACGTGTCCGATTTTCGATATTCAGTCGTTAACTTCCTTTTCTTCTCTCGGTTGTCACAGCAGAGAGAGATCGACGTCCGCTACAAGCTTACTGAGCGGACTCAAAGGACTCGGTCAGACTCAAATCCCAAAGCGAAGATGGAACTCGACATGGGAACTATGGCGGAATCCATCGGGGTATCGGTGCCGGTGCTTCGATTTCTTCTATGTTTCGTGGCGACGATACCGGTGAGTTTTTCATGGCGACTTGTTCCGGGTCGACTAGCTAAACACGTTTACTCAGCATTTTCAGGAGCGTTGCTTTCCTATCTGTCATTTGGGTTCTCTTCGAATCTGCATTTCTTGGTGCCCATGGTGTTGGGTTATGCTGCAATGGTTCTTTATCGGCCCAAGTGTGGGGTTATCACATTTTTCTTGGGTTTTGGTTATTTGATTGGCTGGTAAGTGTTTTTAATTTATTTTCCATTTTCCGAATGTCGTGGGAATTTTTCTTGGTAGATTTGTTTTACATGTCATGTTTTCGTGGTTGTCATTAAGAAAGATCAGCATTTTGTTTTAAATGTTCGGTTTTTAATTCTATAAATAGAATTATTTCTATTCTAATAATCAAACATGGAAAGTTTGATAAAGAATGGAAATGTAATGTTGGACTTAGCAGATGAAGAAAGTTCGATTTAGTGTGGTCCTGCTTAATTAGGATTCTGTTTCAATTTAATTGAAATGCTTCTCTTGGCAGCCAACTGATACTTTTTTCTTGGGAAAGAAAGTCAAAACAAAAAGTTCAGGAAGGGTATTTTATGTTAGAGAGTACATTCCGTTTGCATGAATGAGAAAAATTATGAATGGATGAGAGTTTAATATCATAATCTGATGTTTGAGAAATTTAATTTAATCTCTATAAAAATTGGTGAAATATGTTAGCAATCTGGAAATCTTACACCCAATGCTTTTGCCTTTGACCTGTTGGGTCTTCACGCCAAATTGACTGACAAGATTGCATGTTTGTCTTTTTGAATACTTTAGTAGATGCATGTACATGCATCATTCCTTTGCCATCTAAGATTATAAGATGCTGAAAATCTGGGATAAGAGTATTTCTCATTCAATTGTATGTTGAAGTTTGTTTAAAAGTCCTTTTGATGCATGCATGATAATTCGGTTCTTGTAAATAATGCTTTGTTATTTCAGAATTCTTGACTATTCCTATACGTTTGTAGCCATGTATATTACATGAGCGGGGATGCTTGGAAGGAAGGAGGCATCGATGCGACTGGTAAGCATGTTTGGAATTTCTCTTTTGCATGTGAGAAGTTCTTCAAAATTTGATTACAAGGGTTTAAATTTTAAATGAATTGTAGATCTGCTATGCTTCAGTGATATGGATAAATTAGGTTAATCGTCATATTGCTGCCTTTGGTTGTGATGAACATCAACCTGTAGTTTATTGGTGTTTGTGTCGTAATATCAAATTTGTTCCCACCTTGACATTCAATTGATTTAATTGCATTTGCATTTATGCACACTATTATTCAAAGATTTTCTGTAGTTTTCTCATGAGTGCTCAAGAGTATTCTTCTTTAGCACTTTACACATGTCAGTTAATTGTGGAGCACTATCTTCTGGTATTTAGGAGCGTTGATGGTCTTGACACTGAAAGTCATTTCATGTGCGATAAATTACAATGATGGGTTGTTGAAAGAGGAAGGGTTACGTGAGGCTCAGAAGAAAAATCGATTGATTAAGTTGCCTTCATTGATTGAGTATTTTGGGTACTGCCTCTGCTGTGGCAGTCACTTTGCTGGTCCAGTTTATGAGATGAAGGACTACCTTGAGTGGACTGAAGGGAAGGGGGTAGGTTTATTATGTTTTTTGTACACCTGCATGCCTTTTCTACTCTGAAGTTACTGGTATGCAGCTTTAATAATCTTGTTACTTTTTTTCCCTTTCAAGATTTGGGCTCATTCAGATAAAAGATCTCCATCACCTTATGGGGCGACTTTCCGAGCACTTGTCCAAGCTGCTATCTGCATGGCATTGTATCTTTACCTTGTACCATATCATCCCTTGACACGTTTTACTGAACCCATATACCAAGAATGGGGATTCTGGAAGAAATTGAGTTACCAGTATATGTCTGGCTTTACAGCACGTTGGAAATATTATTTCATCTGGTCAATTTCGGAGGCCTCTATTATTATCTCTGGCCTTGGTTTCAGTGGATGGACAGAATCTTCACCCCCAAAACCGAAGTGGGATCGTGCAAAGAATGTTGACATCCTAGGGGTTGAGCTAGCAAAGAGTTCTGTTGTGTTACCACTTGTGTGGAACATACAAGTCAGCACCTGGCTTCGTCATTGTGAGTCCTTCATTTTCTATTTTTTTTTTTTTCTGTTTTTCGTTTGTTAGGTTTGCTTAAATATGATGTTGGTATATTTAAGAATATATTGCATAAAATCTTACATTTTTTGGAATTGGTTTCTGAACCTGCCTTTATTTTATCCTCTGGCTTGAAAATGTAAATTTTTTTTTGTTTTGAGGATTCTTGATGCGGTCCACTGGTAGCTTTTTTTTTTTGGTTTAGTCAAAATCTCCCTCAAAAGTTCCATTTTATGTGTAATGAGTCAACACATGTAAGAAGAAGATAAGTCAGTTCAATATGAAGTTTATATACATTTGATTACAATATGGTATGGCTATCTGATGTTTTAAAGCGACAACAGTTATTTTACTTTTTTTAGCATCAACCATCTCATTAATGTCTGTGGAAACATTATAGCAAATACAGGCTTAAGTAATAAGATATCTTGAGTGAAAATGAAACTTATACTCTGTTGGTGCAGATGTTTATGAGAGACTTATTACAAAAGGGAAGAAACCTGGGTTTTTCCAGTTGCTGGCCACACAGACTGTCAGTGCTGTTTGGCATGTAAGTCATTTTACTTGACTGAAAAGCTTTATGATGTTCACAATACTTGTCATCTTTTTTTCATTTTGGTATAAAACAAATTTATAAAAATATGATTGACAGAATTCACCCAAAATTTCCCTGGCACTTCTCTCATCAGTTCAATTTTCTTTTGTTCTCGTCCTTTCTCATTTGTTTTAGGGATTGTATCCTGGGTACATCATATTCTTTGTTCAGTCAGCTTTGATGATTGCTGGTTCAAGAGGTACTGCTTTGAGAATCCTTGTTGCTATTGGGATCTGTTATTAGCGTTTATGTTTGTTTACCTCTCCCACTTTCTTTCTGAACAGTTATTTTCCGATGGGAACAAGCTACGAATATGGCTCTTGTGAAAAAAGCATTTGTCTTGATGAACTTTGCTTACACACTCTTGGTTCTGAACTACTCTGCCGTTGGTTTTATGGTTAGTCTCTCTCTCTCTCTGAGTTTAAACCATCAGCTACTTGAAGCAGAAATTCTATAATTTTAGGGTGATGATATATGCACCCAATCAAGCCATCCTTCAGTTGGCCATGACACTGATGGATGGATGGTGCGGGATGAGCAAGAGGGATGAATAAATATATCATTTTCTATAATTTTATAGTTTTTAATATGCTTTTCTTTTGTATGGTACAGGTATTAAGCATGCATGAGACACTTGCCTCATACAGTAGTGTGTACTATATCGGAACCATCCTTCCCATAGCATTGATTCTTCTTGGTTACATTATACCCGCCAAGCCTGCCAGATCTAAAGCCCGTAAAGAACAGTGAGGCTAAAGCCGTATATTCTTCTCTTTGGAGTGAGGAAGAGCACTGGTTTCTCTGGTTAGGATGATTTGTAATGTTCTTACCACCCTGGAATTTTCTAGCAAGTTTTAATCTTATTTAGTCTTAAGTTTTGGCATAAACATGATATGGAACAACCATTTCTGAAGTCTTGCAATGTTAATTTTATGCTGGTGGCAGATTGATTCCTGTTCATATCTTTTTTTTTTCTGCTGCTTTATTCCCACTAGATGGTGTTAGCATTGGAGACAGTTTGGAAGTTTTTTGTTTTCCCCCATGTTCCTCGCTTGTGGTGTGATTATTCCCTGCTTTGCTTTTGGCTTTGGGCTGGCATTGCCATTGCTGTTGCTTTCCCAATACCATACCGTTGGCAAAGGTTCTGGTCTTACCTGAAAAGCTGAAGAACCTGTTGGTCAAAAAGTAACAACAACACTAGTTACTCGGCAGGCTGGATGTGGATCAGCAGATCAGAGAATTGTAGGCTTTCAATTTGATCACGTGTCATAATGGTCAACCTTTTTATTATTCCAACCTTTGGAATTCTGTTCCAGCTAGCCTCTCAATGGCAAAATCATACCCGGAATGTTACAGTTGGACTTAACTTGTCATTTTAATTGCAGTCATTATTCTCTTTCTAGAAAGTTAATCTCACGAGATGAGTCATTGTCAAGTAATTATTATTTTTTGATGAATAAATTAATTTGATAGAACGTGTAATATTTTTATTTAGAAATTTTAAAAAAAAATTTACTTGCATAATATAAGATTTCGTAATATTCTATTTTACTTGAATCCAAAACACTTCTGTCTTCGGGTCACGTTGATGGAATTGAATTCGAATTGACTCTTAATAACTTTGTCGTGAAATTATTATTATTTTTTAAAAAAATTCATATTTTATAAATTTATAATTTATTTTGTATTTATTCACTTTGAGATTTTATCATATAATGTTCATATTTATAAATCTTTTAAAACTTTTTTAATTAATTTATAAAATTAAATTACTCACAAGAAATAAAAATTTAAGAATCACTCAACAACAATTCAACTTACTACACTATTAAATAGATAGTATCATATCATATTGAATTGAAATGAGTGTCTTTTCAGCAGCCATTAGGCAAACAGACAGATGCCAACTGGCTGCAGATTTTTTTTTTTGGGCTAGAGCTGGCCATTTGCCATCTTCTCCTTTTCAAGATTTGTTGCTTTCCAGTTTAAAGGCAAACATCCCTTGGCCTCCCATTTGATTTCCCTTTTTTCTTCATTTTCCATTTTCATTAGATTTCAATTTAAATTTTATCAATCATCTCGATATTTTACTTCACGAGAAAAGATTATAAACTTATTATATAACATGAATCAATAAAAAAAAAATTCGTCGATTAGCTAACAGATGGGATAGTAATTATTTTGATATTGTATTAAATTTTTAAAAATATTTTTAATTTAAGGTTCAATAATTGTGTAGGAAAATTATTAGATAGATTCCTGTCTCAGATTTTACTTCCAAACTCAAATTAACACCAAATTGTTGGTTGCTGTTTACATATCCAAAACAAGAAAGGTCATTAAGAACAAGAGTGCAGACCAAAAAGATCAATCCCATAACAAACTCATGTTATCAAAAAGAACAAGAAGGTATGGCTTGTATCGGTTTTTATAGCATCGTAAATTTATCACAAATCCACATTTTTAATTTAAAAAATATATTGAAATAGAAGAATGTTTCTATTTATAAGTTCAAAACTTATTTATTTTTTACTAAAATGATTTGCGTGACAAAAATATTGTATAAAAGGAACGTATCCATTCTATTTCATGTTTTTCAAAATAATTTTTTTACAATCATAATAAAATATTTCTGTTATGCTGAAACAATAAATATGTAAAATCGTAAATAAAAAACAATTTTATACAGGCAAACATAACATTTTATTACTATGTAAGATTATAATTAACGGGAGTAATTTACCAAAGAATTTCTTTTATGAAATATTCATTTTCATCCAAAATAAAACAAAGAATGAAATGACTCTAAATGCATTGCACTCCTCATAAACTCTTTATGTATTTGAGAAAATGGAATACATTAAGGGGAAAAATCTATGAATTTGGTATGTAAGTAAATGTTTGGAAACGTAAGAAATATATGAAAAGCCAACGTTTCCTTGTTTGGCCCCTCTTAACTTGAGCTAATCTCCAAGGATACAGGATTTTTATTTTGTTTCTTTATATAGTTAGATTCTTCTGTTCACATTCTTCCTTGGGTGGCCATTGCTTTTCCTCTCATGTTCTCTTCTCTACCCTTTTGTTTCCCTTCTCTCCTCATTGCTTCTGTGAGGAGAAAATAGCCTTCTGTTTTTTTTCTCTTTACGATCATTTACATGCAATTGTTTGCTTGTAAAATGACCAAGTCAAAGCCTAAACCTTTCCTGTTTGAAGCAACAGTCTGAGGAGATCTAATGTTCTTGCTTCTCTTTCTGGACTGCCTCTAAGTCGAGGGAAGACTAAGAAATATCTCCAGTTTGGTTTCTTGGCATTTATTGCACAGGCAGTACTTTTATTGTCTTACAAGCTTGGATGGTTTGATGATGAATTCAAAGGTTAAAGGGGAGTGTTCAATGCCTGACAAGAAACATGTTGGCGGTGCCAGTGAAGGCAGTGTGAATCCTAAGGAGTGGGAAGTTAGGCCAGGAGGAATGTTGGTTCAGAAGCGGGATTGGAGTTCCAATCAGAGTTCTGTTCCAATTCCCACCATTAGGGTCAGAGTGAAACATGGCTCTACGTATCATGAAATTCGTGTTAGTTCTCAAGCAAGCTTTGGTAATTGGAATTCTTTGAACCCTTTTCTTTGCTATATCTAAATGACTTTGAATGTTCAGGTTTTGCAGTGAAAGAGTATAGGGTATTGATTTGTTTTTGGTTTGTAGGGGAATTGAAGAAGATGCTGGCAGATCATACCGGATTGCATCCCTTGGATCAGAAGCTGATATACAGAAAAAAGGAGAGAGATTCAAAGGCATTTTTAGATGTTGCAAGAGTGAAAGATGGATCAAAAATGGTGTTGGTTGAAGACATTGCAAGCAAAGAGAGAAGGTGTCTTGAGATGCTAAAAATTGCTAAGATGGAAAAGTCTTCCAAATCTTTATTACAAATTGGCTTGGAAGTAGACAAATTTGCTGAGCAGGTCATTCTCTCTGAAACATCATCTGCCTGTTTTGCCACTTCTTTTACCACAATTTTTCTGGGATATATTGATAGAGATTTTGTTATGAACATTGTTCTTTCATTGCAACTGGTTAGGTTAAAGCTTTGGAGACAACAGTTACTAGAGGCAGCAAAGTTCAGCAGATGGATGTGGATCATTTGACTGGACTTTTGATGACAAGTTTAGTTAAATTGGATGAACTGGCTGTCATTGGAGACTTGAAATCCCAAAAGACAATTCTGGTTTGCTGGCATTTGTGATTAGCTCATTACCTTTTAAACTTAATTTGTTTCAGTTCCATTAATCACTTTTTCTTTTGATCTTTCTTGAAGGAAAGGAAATTGCAAAAGCAGGTTGAAACTCTTGATGCCATGAAGTTGCCGAACACAATGCCAAGAAGCAAAGGAGACAAAATCCCAGTGAAGCAACATGAGCAATCAATAGGGAAAGGGCCTATAGCAGCACAAAAAGAGCAAACACAAGAGAAGCAGAAGAGTTTACTAGCGCAAATGCCCATGCTGCAGCAAACACAAAGGCAATCTGAACAGTCAGTTGTCTTCACAACAAAATGGGAAACTTTTGACTAACATTGGTGGCAGAAAATTCCAGTTTCAATGCTGCTTTGAGATGGCGATTCCTTGAGTAAATCCATATGATGAGAGATTATACAGATAGCTAGAATGATATGGCTTTCTCTTCTTTGTTGGACAATAAAATTTGATCTTATCCTCACAATGTCGGTTTGCATCTTTCACTTTTGTCCTTGTTAGAGAATTGGTTCTTTGCAAATTGTACATAGAAAATGAGGAAAAGTGGGGGAAGAGCCTTGGGGGGGTTAGGGATGGAGATTGAAGGCTTTGTTAAAGCAGCTGTTCCATGTTCTGTCTCCCTTTTCTGAGGATTGGGACCACAAAAGCCAATCGATCTCACCCTTAAGTTCAATAGCAATTAATGAGAAATGAATGATCTTTCTGGCATGGGACCAGCAGGCCTATCAATTCAAACTTCTTAATCATATATGTTTAGCCTGTTCTACATGCAAGAGATTGATCAATGAACAAGTTTGCTTTGGTCATCTAAAAATCCTTTTTCCTTGTGAGGCTGAAAGAATAGGGAAACAAATACTAAAAAGACCAAGACCATTAGGAAATGATATAAAGTAATCATACCAGAACCATTGAAAGTTAGGTTTGAGTTTGACTTTGGAGGGCAAGACAACTAAGAAAGACTGAAATATTACTTCAATAATGTTTTATATATGCACAGTGGCACTCATAAATTAAAGTGTAGTTGAGCCTTGAAAGATTCAATATAACTCATATTGGCCAGACTACTTGTATTTGGTAAGTGTTAGATTTATGTGAATTATAGTCTGTATCTAGACAGAAGGAATAAAACAGATTAGGTTGCTTGATTGCAAGTGGCCAGACAATAATCCTTGCAAGATTATAGAATTGCATCATTCCCTGTCTGATGTGGATAATCTTTACCTCAAAATTTGTCACACTGCACATTATCTGAGGCTGGATATTGGAAGGGAGAAAAAGGATTGATTTTGAAAGAATTCTAATGTTAAATTCAGATAACATGATAAATAACTATCATAAGGAAGAACCAACAAGGAATCCAATGAGTTCTATACAGGGAAACCAAAAAGATTTGAGCCCCAAAGATTTGAAGTTGTCAAGAAAAATATCTGCTGCCATGATTTGATGTGTTTTGTATAGGCAGGATTGTGCATGTATCAGTCATGGGAAGTTTATAGTTGTCTGATTTTTGTATAGCAGATTTTTGTGGGTAGCTATGAGTAAGATTTGGTGAATATACCTGCCTTTTCTGCCCAGGTATAGCCCACAAATCACTGGTTCTTTACTGATGTTTTTTTTTAAGGGGATTTTTCCATCCTCCTTTGCAATGAAACTCCAATCTTTCAAAAAAAAAAGAAAAATATCTGCTGCTGCTTCTTGATTAGCTTTGGAGTAAAGGAACAAGAACAGGGAAAGCTTGCTCCTTTTCCTTCCATTCTTCCTTTCTGGCAAATTCTTCTGATAACATTGGAGTTTCCCTCAGCTTGTTAGTCAGACTATCACTTTCTAAATATGGTTTTGCAGGAAAGCAAAATCAGTTCATTCCACTTGGGAAATGAATTACATGTGGGAATCCTGATACTCTTGGGAGAAAGTTTAACTTCAAACACAAACAGTTCACCAGGAAGGTGGGACTGTTGCATTTAAAGTAAAGTTGCCTACTTCTTACACTTGGCAGTGCTGCTTTAAATTGCCATGACACATCTGCCTCTTTACTTATAGAAACACCAAAACTTGATTGAGATATATCATTTCTCGATCTGCAACAACAAGCACAAAAGCATTTGATAAAGCCTGAGATCCTTCCTACCGGTCCATTAGCTTTGGAGTGAAGACACAACAATGGGGCCAGGCCATTTTTATTCCTTAAATTTTCTATCTTTCATTTTTCCTTGTAGGCGATAGCTAGGCAAAGACAAAGAAGCACGAGCGAAAGTTGGTCCTTGCGTTAAGGATTCATGTTTCCAACCAAAGGACATTATGTTAGATGAAGGAATGTTATTATTTATTAGGCCAATTTAATCGTGCAATGCCTTGGCCCGAGTTTATCGCTGACTTGGTATTTATTATAAAAAGTATCCCGTCAGTGAAGAGTTAGGTTATTTTGATATTACTTGTCATAAGCTCATGTTTTTAACTCTAAAGACTCTTATTTATAAGTCCAAGATCCATCCTGTCTGATATTAACATGAGATCCGTTACATTTGAATTTGATAAGGATGTCGCACTAGTTCTTTCTCCTGTCGATTTCCGATAAGGCCATGCGAATAAATGGAAAACGTATAAGCTAGCCTAGCACCCACAAAATTTAGAAATTTGGTGTCTTCAATGAACATCTGACATCAAATAGGGGACCTAGAAGCTCAAATAGCAGTGGCCATTATCAAGCTTCTGTAACACAAATAAAGATATAACAAAAGCATGCTCATAATTAAGGAGTGAAAACTTGTACTTCCAAAGAGACATAAAGATACAACACTTGGACGATTATTAATTTTCAAAAAACCGTAATGGGATACTAATTTTTATAAGCAAAGGAGAGCTTTTGTTTTCATCTTAATTTTTTTTTGATTAATTGTTGATTATGTTTTGGTGAAAAACCTCAAATCTATACATATAGAACTGATAAAAGGTAGATGAAGCTTGATGACACGGCTAAAATTTCAGGGAGAGACAGCAAGGAAGCTGTTGGACAGAATGGGAAGACAGGAAGGAGCCTCTTCTTAAGAACTGGTCATTCAAGAAATTACTACTAAGGCTTGACTGCAGTGCATCAAACTGAAGAAATGGGTGGGAATTCGGAAATTGTCAAATCCGCCACAATAAGCTATCACGAAATTGCTGATGATAATCATATGGTTTTCCATTAGCTGGTCTGATTTCTGACAATTTTCTTGAGCCAAATAATGATATAATCAGACACTATAATAATTTATATTCACTGTAAGTACATCAAATATAAATATATCTTTTTTCTTGTTTGTTGCATATTATGATGAAACTGTAATTAGAATGAATTCTTCATATGTAAATAGATAATAGAAGAATTGATTGCAAAGATGTAAAATGCTTTAGAATATTATTATATAAGTTTAGCCAATCACTTAATTCTCATAAAATTCAAACATCTCACATTGTCAAAATACTTAAAAGGTGAAAGTTTTATATATGAAAACACTCTATGAGCTTGTTGCAAGTAATGAAAACAGAGTGGGTTCACGCGCACACAAAGTTAAGTCAAATCTTAAGAAATGTTTCACAATATTTCAAGTGAAATTTTCGTAAATTATTGGATATTGTCCGTAATTTAAGGGAAAAAGTCATTGGAAACTTGGTGTGATTGGCAAGAAAGAAAAGAAGAAACTTTCTCAGGTCATTGGTTTTTCCAACAGGGCAGAGAAGTACCACTTATTCTTGTCAACTCCACGATCAAGTTTCTGCCCCGAATTCCACCTTAGTTTCTTAAATCCAATTCGACCCAACATTGGAACATAGGTTTGGTTCAGCTGTGAGCCCTGGCAGAAGAAATGGTCAAGCCAGAAGAGGCCCCCTGGCCTCAACACTCTGTAAATGTCATACAAGGTGAGCTCAAGCATGGCATCAGGGATCCAGGTGCTCAAAACATGCATTGAATGCACAATATCTAGTGTGTTGTCAAAGAATGGAAGCCTCTGCGAAACACTAACATGGATTGGGATCAAGCCCCTGGATGCAATAAAACTATTAAAGGGTCCATCAAGATTCATTGAGCTAGTGATGATGGTGATGTTCCTCTCTGTCATCCTTGCAGCAAAAGTGCCACTCCCACCTCCAATGTCAAGCCCAATTCTGATAGTCCCAGGAGGCTTTGTTTGCAGAACTTGATCGATTCCATAATCTAGTCCTCTTCGTAGAGCCACCGTCTTTTTTCTCTGCCCCGCAAGTCGAAGCAGTCCTTGCAGTCAAAGTGCCCTGGAAACTTGTTGCAGTTAATCAGGCAGTGGTAGCTTTTGCAGGTGTAGGGATCGCAAACTATATGCTGGAATCAGACGGAATTACCCACAGGCTATCTGGAAATGGTGTTGGCTCCACATAACCAACTGGAGATTTGGGATGGCATCTCCGGCGAGGGAGTGGTTCACACCCTTTGAGCATAAGCTTTTGAGCAAAAGCATCATCTACCGGGCATTCCCCACCGATGTCATACGTCATGTACTGAGCCAGCTCCTCTTGAAACCTCAAGCAGCCTGCTCCAACAGGCGAATAGATCTCATCGGATCCCATCCTTGGCGAGTACCCTAATGGAAGCTTCTGAGGGAGAATCGCAAGCCTGAGTTCATCAGACATAGCAGCAATGCTGCCAAAATCATCACTGACCTTCATAGCTTCACTTGGTTTCTCGACCGAAGGCTTTCGTTCACGGGTCAGCTCAATAAGCAGGGCCTGTACAAGCAAGTTGGTGGAGTTGATCTTGTGGTGTAACTCAGCAATGAGAGAGTAGCTGGCAAGGAGTTGGGCCTTGGTAGAGTTGAGCTCTCGCAACAGAGACGTGGAGTCCTGAAGGAGATGAGGGAGGTGGCTGGAGTGCGTTGATAAGCTGAAAGGGTCACTGAAGATGTAGACAGAGAGCAGGTTTGTAACAATGACAAGCGCAATCATCTTGAGCTTGTAATGGTTGCGATGGGGCATTAAAAGCACTTTGCTTTCTTGGGTTGTCTTCCCCTTCATTTCCCATGCTTCTTTGTTTCATGCAAATTTGATTCTTTGCAGACCGGTCAGGTTAGATTGGGGAAGGAAAGAGAAACCGAGAGAAGATCATGGTAATTAAATGCATGCAAATTAGCGCAGAACGAGGCAAGGCTTCACGTTCTGATGGAACTTCGCTCACTGTGATTCGCCGAAGGCGGCGTTAAAAGTATGATGGTTTCTAATGGGCGCTCACGTGCCATTGCAGCGGCGCCGATCTTTAGAACTCCATATCCTTATTGCTAATACATTCTATATTATCTAATGTATCATGGAGGTATAATATCCACACACTATTAAACTATAAAAAAATAAAAATTAATAAATTTTAAAATTAGAATTTAAAAAATGAATATGAAAGAGATTTTATATTTTCATGTACTCTTTAAAGTTACTAATAGAGTAATTCTTTTGGTTATACTTATTAATTTTAATCAAATTAATACTTAAAAGGATAAAAAGAAATTATACTATTAAATTTAAGCTGGTGTTACACTTGTAGTTTGCATTGATTAGAGTTTGGGTTGGGGCAAGCTCCAATTGGCAAGTCAATCTGCACAAAAGTTCTTCAGACTATATTACAAGTGCTTCAGTCTCCTAGTTTATCCATTGCCAAGTAATACTCTTATGGAAATGACTATGTGGTAATGACAGTGGATATCTGTAGTCATTTTCTCACCTTCTGGATAGCTGTAGCAAAGTCTGATTCAACTTCAACTCTACTGCTGCTGCTCTACTAATCAAGATGCCGAGATGCATACGTCATCACTCCAAATCAAACACTGCAATTGCCCAAGCTGTTCAATAATTCAATCATCCACTTAGCATTATTGTCCTAATGTTCCAATCCTGCATTCCTGCGGCTATTGCTTTCCAGCACCCGGCCATCTACGTTATGCTTGCACCATCCTTCATGCAGCTTCTCTTAATTGAAGCATTTATTTTTCTCTTTCTTCTTCCCCTTTTGGTTCATCAACTTTACCCATTCTGCCATGATTCTAACTATAAGCTCCTTTTCTTCTCATATTACTTCCCACTTTGAGTAACTGTGGCATGGGCCAGTTGATCTACTCCACAATCGGCAAAGTTTCCCAATAAAGTTAATTACTGTCAATGACTTATATGTTGGATATTATTCTCCTTCTTTAACCTAATATTCCTTCCATTCATACACCAATGATCTTCCAGATCACTAAATCCAATTCACAATAATCTTAATGAGTGGTGCAAGAGAGAGTAAGGAGTTGTGTAGTCAACTATTTCTTTGGTTTTAGTTTTGCAGTGTTGATATTCATAGAGCTTCTATTCGCACATTTAAATGGCTCAAAAAGAATATATAGATCATAATTGTGGAACACTCTGTAGATTGTTCCAACAGTAACAGTGCAGCGTGAAATGTGGTTCAATGGCAAATAATATATACAGTTTGAACAATGATTCTTATTCTATATGCCAGAGGAAAAGTTTAAAAACTTTCCAGAGTCTATAGTTTAGCCATAGGTCTCATTTACAGTTAAACAGCCACATTGCAAAGGTCTAAACCTGCCCAAATGTATAATCCCTACTGCAAAGGGAAATAATCCTTTTAACAATGAAATGGATGAGTATCACAAAAACAATCAGGGTAAGCATTTAGGCAGAGAGCTCAAACCTTGAAACCATGTTCCCATGGAAGAACTTGAATCACTCTGTAGCTAGCTGTTGCAAGTGGCTGTAACAACATAAAGTCTTCCCAGGAACATATCCCGTTGTCCTTGATTTAGCATCACCCTGTTATAAAATGAATCACACTGTAGCTAGCAGTTACTACCATAGAGAGAGTTGCTCTGTGATAGTGGAAACAATTATGGAGTCAGTTCATAGGATTCAATCAATATACTTTTTCTTTTCCTTCTTTCACTTTATAAAGAAAAATGGGAAACTGATCTAGTTTGCAAAGTATCCAATACGGAGGCTTTGCAATGGATATAATAGATAAGCCCTACGAAGACACTTCCTGAAACAAACACAATCTCTATCTGAGAAAATTTTAGGAAATTACCATATCAACTAATCAGATTCTTCATCATCATCAGTTGGGGTTCTATGGAAATGCCCAAAGTATTGGAACCGTGATGTTTGACTTCTATTGGAAATGTGCGATCTCCTCTGCCTGGGCATTAAACCTTTACCAGAAAGGGAATCAAACAAGACCCCCATGTCCATTTCCTTTTGGGCACTTCTATGCTCATTTTCAAAACTACAAAAGCAACAAAAGAAAACTCAGCAAAGAAATCAAGATTAGCCCCCTCTCTATCTTCTTTCTTTTTTTTTGCTTCGGAAACTGGGGGAGGGGGGTAGCATATCTGAAATTGCAGAAGAATTACACAACTGTTTGGTAGGGGTGAAGTGAACCTAAATATAAATACATGTAAAACTTAAGGAATTGACACTGATAAAACTGAAGTGAGCCATACCGTTCTCGAATAATTTTAAAGGCTTCCTTGGTTGCATAAGGTAGCCCTGTCTTTGGATCACGGTACCTAAAATATCAAACGACAATTCAAACAAATAAGGTTGGATGGACTTAGCCAAATTGATATCTCTTAAAATGTGAAGTATCATTAAACTAACATTTGTATCAAATTAAAAACATGATTTATTATCCCAACTCAAGAGAAGCCTATCTCTAACTCATGGAATTAACTTTTGTATTCCCCAACGTCATGACATTTGTTCCATACATTTAGAGGCTATTGAAAACTGATTGATTGATGATTGTTAGCACGGCATCTTAAACGGAAGAGCCTAATGTCAACATCAGACTAAAGAAAGATAAAAGTTAAGGTGAAAAGAACTTCACCAGCTCTAATTAATTCTTTAGAAACTTAGAAAAGCAAATTTATGAAAAACACTTCTCCCAAAGAAAATTTTAATATGCTCCAAGTACAACTGCTTAGAAATCATCATTTAGTTCGTAATGCTGCAGAAAACAATTTAGTCAGCAGCAAGACTTTAAAATGGAAGATCAAGAAATAACTGTAATGAAAATAAGCTCTTACTTGGCAGGCAATCCAGTAACAGCACAAATGGCCTTTTCTGGGTCTGGATACAAAGATAAATAAAATAAATAAATCAAAAACATATTCAAGGAGCAAATAAAAAATTATCATTAAACAAAGACCAGGTAAAGCCCCTTTTAGTTTTAGTTCTTTAAAGTATAATAAGTATTTTAATTAATGTCAATTTGGATTTCCACTTCTGCTTCATCAAGAAAATCTATTGAAAAGTTCATTTCTATAAGCCAATAATGTTAGATAATTTTATTGTAATTAACACAGCATTTGTGGGCCATTACAAAAATTTAGCAACAAACCAACTCTAATGTTATTAATCTCCTTGGTAACAAAAGTCACCTATAACATTTAATAGAAAAGACTTTTATTATGAGAATACAAATTCTACAACCATTAGCTGATATCCCTCAGCACCTCATTTTCCCCTTGCAGTAACATTATATTACCTCAAATGGTGGAATGGCAACTGAAGACCAAAACAGAAAGATGATTAATTTCAATCCCCATGCAAACCCTAATGATCTATGTCTAGTACAAGCAAAAATAGCTGAACTTGTAGCAGCAGTAGATATCTAAACTAATGCACCTACAACGAGTTCCAGAAATGCAGGGGTTAAAGATTTTTCAACTTCAACAGGTTGCATTACTGAATGATTGTGTTCAAATAACAGCCAGGAAAAATAAAATAAGAGAAAGCCAGAAGAAATAAAGCCAACAGAAGGAAATTGAAATCTAGATCAGCAAAAATTCTTTAGCACCAAAAATCAGATTTCTGAGGGTCATGATTTCTGCAATTAAGCCAACTGAGGGATTTATTATTGATAGACCCAAAAAGCAGAGGAAAATAAAGCCAACAGAGGCAAGAACCCACCAAAAATTCTTCAGAGATATGAATGATAAGAAAGAAAATGAAGAGTCCATATCAGCAATTTTGTTAACATTAACTCATGACCACATGGAACTTACATGGGGGCGATGTGGTTGAGAGCTCTGACTGAAATGACAATCCTTTACTAAATTCTAGATATGAACAACCTGCAAAAGATTGCATAAATTAGCATAAATCAATTCAGTTAACAAACCCCATATAATCAACAATCATATATTCAATTTTTCTTGCATTTTAGAACTAAAATCAATAGCTATCAAGGTACTCTTGCCATCTTTTGACACATATTTAATCTGTGGACCGCCATATACAGGTTTGTGGATTATTGCTCTTTTCTTAACTTCTTCCTCTCTTGCCAACACACGCTCTAAATTCCTTAAGTTCATGATTTCTGCAAAATTAAAATACATAAATTCAAGTTAAAATCAAATAAGAAGAAGCTCAGAAATCTAAACTCATAGGGAAATTTCCATCCTGAACCTGTTTGTGCTGCTTCCAGAAGCATCTCTTCTTGAGTCATCCTCTTTTCTTCACCTTCTTTTTTCCTTTTTACTGGCTGATTATAAAAAAGTATGTTAAAAACATAATCACATTGCATAACTGCATTTCACTCCATATATCCAAATTATATAATCACATAATGTGTGTGTGTATCCATATTGTATAATCACATGAAATTTATATCACGAAACACATGATACGTATAATAGTGTTAAGAAGCCGAAAGTGAATCAAGCAGTAGTCATGGAGCAACCGTAGTAATTATGGCCAAATTCATTCATACAAGTTAGTGGGGGTCATGAAGACATCCCAGTCAACTATTAATGGAATGCTCTCATGACCTTTTTAATGAATTTGATCACGCGTTTATATATATATATATATATATATATATTTATACATATAATTCATGAGTTTCAACCAATGGTGCATGCAAGTTTTAGAAAATAATAGTAATGATGTTTTTGTTGCTTTCTAACTACATCATAGTCTCAAAGAAATAGCTAACTTCACAATGAAAAAAGTTAGAGCAAGTGACTGTAACCATTTATGCATCTAATGTTCAATGAGAAAGCCAGTACTCAGATGCATGCACAAAGTATAGGATGATATTATGACCTTGAAATCTTTGTTAGGCAATTCTACATATACTAATCTAAATTTAAACTATAACACCGTTATTGCAATACTAATCTAAACTTAAATTCACCCCTAAGAAATCAAAATCAATTACATATTGGTTAAAGAAATCACATCTACTATATAAACTGTTATCTAGTATGAACTCTCAATGCTAAGTAAGTCAAATCACATTAGTGGGTACATTTACTTATCTTTTCCTCTACACTGGGGAAGGAAAGCCATTTAATTGTACAAAGACATCAATTATACATGGCTAATGTAGGAAATACTATGTGGCTTTGAGACAACCATGCCCCACACCTCTCCAACATCTGCCTAATTCTCTCATCAGTCACAACTAAACAAAGGTTCCAGAAAAACAATTGTGTCAAGAACAAATATTAGAAGGATAATACCAAAACGGTCCAATAAGAAAACACAGGTCAGATTATTTTGCTTTAGTTTGAACCAAATCTCATCAAACTAAAGAAAAGCATCATGTATAGCTGCTAGAAAAGATATATGCACTGACTAATACAATGATCCATTTTCTTTTAACGTTTTTGAGATGACTACCAATGTATGCTAGATATATGTCCCTAGAAAAGAACAAGGAATACAGATACAATAATCAAACTTGCCTTCATCGTTGCTTGCAAAGCAGCACGTATTGCATCTCGCTCAGCTTGCCTAACAATGACTGAAGTTCTTGTAGATTTCCTAATGATTCTCTCACCTTCTGCATCATCAGGGGCATCATGATGTTGTGGAGAGGTAGGCTTTTGAGTCGACTTTTCATCCATGGGATCACCATCTAACTTCGAAAGGACTTTCTTTTTCTTCTTTTTCTTCATAGAAGGCTTTCCAGGAAAAATTAAACGCTTCTTCGTACGAACCCTGAAAACAAAATTTAATATATAATAACAATTAAGGAGATGTAAATATGAATGAGTTGGGGAGTAAAAGAAGTAAAACCTTTCCTCTGTTTCATTTTCTGCTTCATCATCTGGCTCAGGTTCCTAGCACCCATAGTCCATAGAAGGGAGTCAAATTTCAACAGAGGACATGAGTGAAGTTTAATTGAATATGGGTTGAAACAAAAGTAGAGACGAAAGCAATACACACATCTTCATCAAAATCACTGTCAAACACATCAGCAACCTCCTGTTCTTCTTCATAATTGGTATCATTGTCTTCCTGAAGAGAAGAGGACCACAAACAGAAATAACGGTAAATGCATGTAACATATCAAATCTTCCAAAATTATAACTCCATAAAAACTAAACTCCAAGAAGTAGTGACCTTAATTCCTAGTCACTCCAAAAATTGGTCTTAGAAATAGAATAAACAATTAGGGTTTAGGGTTTTACATGAACTTAAGGGACACGAATCCACTCATAATTTCAACACGTCATCTACCCATCATCTATGAAAATAATGAGCATGTTTACCCGTACTAGTACTTCAGAAGAAGAAAAAGAAGTGAGAGCTTACCTCTTTGAAAGCCTCTTGATTCCAAAACAACTCGTCTTCTTCAGCTTCCTCGTCCAGTAACTTTGTCATCCTGGCAATAACAAATAGCGTTCAAATATTTCCAGAATTTTTTCCTTTTTTTATTTTAACAATAAATAATAAAAATAAGAAAATTAAATCATAATTATACTATTTCATCTTAGGTTGAAGTTGTAACCTTTTCCCTTTAGTTGTTCGAGAAGCAGGATCCAGAAAGACGTGCGTCTCTTCTTCTTTACCAGTTTCCATGGCTGCAACAAGCTATCAAATCAAAACAGGAAGAGAAGGCCCGAAGGATTTATGGGTTCAGTTGATAGTAATAGTAAGGAACCCAAAGAAGAAAAGAAACGCTGGATTTTTTATTTTATTTAATCAGATTCAGGGTGGGGAAGCAACAAGGATTCGAGTGAAGGCCAGTCTTTTTGTCTAGTTAAAGCAGATGATCATGAGTTGGGCCCCGGTTTTCTCGCCCCGCCCCGAACCATTTTTAAGATATCACATGAACCCGAACCCGAAACTGAACCCGAATTGTACAAATAACCTATCCGATCGGGGTCGAAAGGTTGGGGTTATTCTGCTTCATGTGTCATGGGGCTTCCATTTCTAATGCAAAGATCATGTAATGTGTTCGCGTTTTCATTCTAAAAGGCATAATATTTTAGAATTGATTTTAAGAAAACTGATCATTTCGATGTTAGATTCAAAAGGTTAATTAAAATGATGATTTTTGACAAAAAATTATTCTTTAAATATGTGAAATAACAATTTAAAAAATTTGGTACAAATAATTATCTTTTAACCTAACATCCATAATACAAAATAATTATTTTTTATAAAGTTTTAATTTCATAATTATTCTTTATAAATTTTTCGAATTTCAAGTTAAATTCCCGCTTTCCGCCCAACACCTATTAGACATCCATCATAATTTGCTTTTCCGTCTCCGATGATCAACGCTATTAGTTTTACTTTTACCACAAAATGAATTTTCATAAATATACATTTTTATAAAAATTTATTTAAATATTTAAAATAATTTAAAATTTTTCTCATTCTATCCCAAACAATTTTGAAATTTAGCTCCAATCTAAATTAAACCCGAATTTTAAAAATAACTTAATGAATTCATATTTTTAGTTCAAAAAACACATCTTAAATTCATATTTTTAATTTTAAAAACTTGATTTTTTTTAAATTGATTTCAAATGAATTGACTGTTTCATGTTTGATGAAAAAATTAATATAAATAACCATTTTTTTCTAATGAAAAAATATTCTTTAAATATGCGAAATAATAATTGGGAAAATCTCATAAAAACAACTATTCCATCTCATTAAGGTATAGTTAAATATTTTTAATTTCATGATTATCTTTTACAAATTTATCAAATTTCAAATTAAATCCCTACTCTCCACCTGACACCTTCTAGACATCCGTCATGTTTAGGTCGGCTTTCACCGCGTAATGATTTGGAATTTATTTAAATTTTTTCAAATTCCAAATTTTCAATTTATATTTAATAAATAAAGAGAAAATAATATGTATCTTATTGTATGAAAATGAAGCAGCAAAGATGGGATCACAAATCACACATATCATGTTCGGCTATACAAAACTAAATATAGTCTCTAAATTACGAACACTTGTTAGATTGACGGTTTCACAATTGTCTGCGAACTTTCTTCTCTGATGCGGAAACATGGACAGAAGCATCGGATTAGATGGACGCCAAAATCAATCATACAACCGAAAAACCCAGCCGATCTCTCTCTTCTACCTGCCTGCTGCACCACAGGCAGGCCATAGACGGGATTCGGATCCATGTATTGCTGATAGGATGGAGCTGGACAAATGGGACTACGATGGCTTTCTGTTTCTGATACAGTATCTTCTGGTGCCGGGCACTGAAACAGAGTTGGATATGACAATTCTGGGACTGGGAATGGCTCAGCCTGATCCGCCGTATGAATGGCATCTTGGGTTAGCTCTGCCTGCAGCCATGATGGCAACGGTGGCGCTGAGGGCTGCGTTGAGGCGCACGAGTAACAGCAATGACAATGGGAGGAATCAGGATATGAAGGCTCTAGGCCGAGGGACTTTCTTTTTCTCTTCTTGCGTGACCAGAACTTGAGCTTCTTCAGAGCTTTGGACATTTTCATGGTTTAATGGAGACTGAGAACTGAGTTAGCTCAGCCGCTTTTCTCGATAGATGTGGGAATATATGTAAATAGTAGTACATGATTCAGAAGGATAAAGCGCTGCCCAGCAGCGGATTCTTATACACCTTTTGCTAGTTCAAATTTCTTGACCGTTGCCACAATGCCACTTCACCAACCACAAAGTCAAGGATGTGAACAATCTGGACACAATTATATCGACGTGAGCATTACTAGAATCACTGTGTCCTGTCAAGTTTCAAAAGAAATAAATACTTCGATTCCACATGGAAGTAAGTACTTTAAAAGAAATAAGGTACTTCATTCTCAATGACTAAATAAAATGATTTTGAAAAACTTATAAGAAGATAATGATTTTGTGACAAACTATAATAAACCCAACTTAGATCCCACCGACATCGAGCACCAGGAGGCAAGCATCAAATCAGGTGGGAAACAATGTCCCCGACCGGCATGAGATTGGAAAATCTTGAAAAGCTTATAAACATGGATGTTACACATCCAAGTCAAAAGAGAGTATTAGCATACACTGACTGAGAAAATTGTCCATCCTGTTTGATTATTGCTTCACTGCGTAAATACTAAATCATATACTATTAACAAGCAAGTGAGAAAAATACAAAGAAATCAACTGACAACCAAGTCCTGGTCATTTTCCCATTAACCACAGCCAACTGTTCTACCAACAAGAACGAAATGAAAACAAACCAAATCTGATAAAGCAATGGAATAGATCCACCTATCACAAACAACCAACTTTACCTTGAAGCAGTTACAATCAAGATGATGCTTTCCCGTGAGAAAAACGAAACATGAGCTGCCTGGGAATTAAAACTGATGGGGAATAACCCAAAAAATATATATACAGAAAACTAGAAGAAACATATCCAAATCCGCAGGTAACAAAAGATTGCACAACTATATATATTTACATACAAAGGACAAGTGTGCCATGTTGTATATTATATAACAAAAATAAATTGACAGAAGGCAAAAAAAAAAAAAAAGGGCAAAAGGTAAGAGGAGGGCAACTTTCAATTGAGCACTGGGAGGAGAGAAACTTTTGAACCTACTTAAAAACCAAATGAACAATCGCTATGAGATTTTGCTTCACAAAAATATTTTAGAGTGCAGAAAAAATCTAATTATATGAGATCTAAACCCTATCATTGAGGCACATCTCACTCTCTCCAGAGGAATTTGTTGACAGAACAGCAGACTCACAGATGTGGATGCTGTAGCAAGCCATTTCAGTATTGCCATGTCAATGGCAATGTCATCAAGGTAATGCATATATAGACAAAATCTAGAGCACTACATTCTTTTTTCTCAACCTCTTCTATGGTTGCTTTCCTGCAGCACATAAAGGCCTGGGTACATTAGCACCCAGGACTAACAACTGAAGACCGGTCGTCAGTGTTGACAACTGTGTCAACACCAGGCTTGGCTGGTTTGCTATCATCATTGGCTGGAAGTTTTATCTCGGGTGATAACTTTTTAACTTCCTCTGATGTCAAGATAAAAATTTTCCTCACCATGCTGCAAAACTCACTGCAATGGAAGTTCACAGAAACAAATGGAATAAGTAGCAGAACGACCAATGAGCTCAGATTCACACTGTACCATAAAATCTCAATTAGATATTTTCAAACTTTCCTTGAAGTTGATTTCACTAATCACAAGAACAATAGAGTTTTGTCTGATAAATTGTTAAAAATAGAGAGTTCGTAAAGTTTATTTCTTAACATATTATACCTTTCTCAGCCTTGGTGTAATTTAAGTCCTTTTTCCATTTATATCACCCATCATTTTGATAAGACAAAAATGTACATAAAATCAGAATAACAAATTAACCAGTAGACCTATAAGAAACATTTTAATAGGTGGATCCTACGAACCAAACAAGAATGTAAGTGTAGGATTTAGTAATATCCTGCACCAAGAATATAGCACCAATAAGAGAAATAGGAAGGCTGAACTTACATCCAAGGATCATCCCCAACCATCATCATGTCACTTTCATCATCGGTATAGACAACCTGCCAATTCCTAGCTGACCCAGAGAGCTGACCTTTAATGTCAAACATCTCCTCCAGCTTCCTTAGCAAGTCCTCATAACAGTCAAATCGTGTCAAATCAACAGCCCTTCCAACCACCATCCCTTGCATGTGAACCTGAAAAAGGCAAGCTCAGTTAAATACAACAATACTATATTTGTAACAGACACCCAGCATCCTTCTATAGTATTTGTAACAATACTATATTTTACTAGAATGTAAAATCAATCCTTTTTAGTAGGTTCTCTACAGTGTTTCTCAAGCATGAAGACAAAATTTTAGACTAAAATGCAAATAGATCTTGACAAAAAGCTACAGCTTTATGTAAATCAGACAACAAAAGAACTTCCAATCTTTCCAGGGGATTCTAGTCTTAAAAAAGCTATTTTCTTCTCGGCAAATTAAAGCAAAAGAATGTGTTTGGATGACCTTAGTGCAGCTCCGAATTTGCTTGCTCTGTGACTCCTGAGGAGATCTCAGGCATGACTTCTCAGGATCACAACTTACAGAAGGAAGATCAGATCGATTAAGATTTGATGGATCAGAGAGCTGGTCAGAGTCGGCATCTACTAATAGAACAAGCCGGTCATCCACTACAGTCCCAGAAACTGTAGCCACAGGGGAAGTTTCTTCCATGTTCACATTGTCAAGTTGAATACCAAACAGCCTGCAGCCATTCCCAGTGCCCTGCTTTCTTTCACAAGATTCTTTGTTAACAACTGGTGCAAAAGATTCTGTAACACTCTCCACTCTGTTAGACCAATACATGGAGTTGCTAGAAACAGCAGCAACTGAACAATTCCCACTAAAGCCAACAGAGTTAAGCTTTGCAGTAGAGGAGAATTTAGGTGATGAATGTCCACGTTGTGAATCACAATACGAGAAAGCAGGAGATTCAACTGATGATTTCCACATACCTATCACATATAGTGTTCAATTAAAATCCAAAGCAAGAATTTAATGCAGGTACTGACAAATAAACAATTGTACCAAGTGAAGAAAGATCTGAAGATGGTGTAGGTAGAACAGGTGGTCGAGCCCGCTTGTTCCTTTGTGCAGGTTGTGAGTTTGAAGAGGTATTAGTCGCAACAAGTGGATCCAGTTCCCATGGAGACACCCTATCAGGGCGCAGGATTGATGAAGGTTCATCCCATTGAACCTGGAAATAGACAATATTGTAACAAGAGTTTCACAGGGCAGACATCCCAAAATGTGTTTCGTCTCAATGCAGAACAAATAAGACATGACATAAGAAATTGGGGTAACCTTTAGCGATCTCCACTCAGAATCATCCCATCCAGACGATTTATTATCCCCAACACCAATAATTGTGCCACTGAACCTGCAGGCACAAATGATTGCTGGTTAACAAGCACTACCAATTCTGAATCCAAAGGAAAACAATGCAGCAGATGTATACCTTCTTTCAGGAACCTCTTCACCCTCAAATCTCATTTTGAACCTCATCCCAACGGATAGCTTATGGCCACGAGCTTCAAGATATTTGTTTACACTCACAATGAACTCAGACCGGCTTGTTCTGATAATATAATGCTCGTCAGAACAAATATACACAAAACACCAGAGTTACTCATCTTTATATGATGAGGGCAATAAAAACAGATCTTAGGCATCAGACTCCACTGAAAATGCCACAAAATAAGAAGAAGAAGGAAAAAGAAACAAATGTACAGATATATAATACCATATTCTACTCCATAGTATATATAATTTCACAATTATCAATATCACCTTCTAAAGTGTTTAACCAAATCCTCTATTTCGTTTGTGTCTGAGGAGATATTTAGTCTAATGCACCTCACCCTTAAGGATAAATATGCTTAATACGCGCTAAAGGAAGAATAAATTATGACCTCAGAAGGGATAAAGTTGCATATAGCTTCAATCCACAAAAAATTAAATTCAAGATCAAACAAAGAAACAAAATAAATAAATGTGCACATATGCATCAACTCAAACACTGCAAGATACAATTTCTAATTTTTAATTAATTAGTAAATAAAATAAAATAACTACTATAACGATGATAATAACAACAACAAAAATGGCTACGGACATTGAAAAAGACGGATGATGATGTAGGGTTACTGTTGGTTGGCTCTGCAGGATAAAATACAAACCTTGGCTTGTAGAAGACAGAAAACATACTTCCGGTAGCAATGGCATGGGATGCAGTGGCAAGCACCCCAAGATGCATGCTGTGACTAGATATAACAGAAGATGGCATGTTGGTCTGTTGTCTCATAAGCCTCCTCACACCAACACGCAGCTCTCCATTTTCCCCCCTGGAGAGAGGCAATTATGCATATATAGGTCAGTAGATTATATAAAATTAACAAAAGAGAATATCTATTTTGTCAAAGAGATAGATCTTGCCTCAGGAATATAAATGCATCACCGGCCACTAATTTTTTGGAACTAACAAAGACACTCCACCCAGTAGTGAGTAAGTGGCGCCTCGGTTGCCCTGCAAATAAATTTAAATGCTAATGAACCAAGAAGCAAGAACAATATTATTATCAAATCACTACAAGTACGACATCAGAGAAGTCTAGACGACTTAAAAGATAAAACTAAAAACAATAATAAGTTTTTTCAATTTTAAATGAGTGCCAATAAATTAGAGGAGACATTGCAAAAATAGGTAAAATGAACACAACAGGTGGTTTTGAATGATGCTAACAGTGCAAAAACAGTGAATACATTCTGAACAGAAACAGAAGCTAAATCCTCGAAACCATGTTGATTCACCTTTCAAAAGCCCATAGTTTTATAAAGGGATTATACAAAAAAAAACAATTCTTCCAGTTTCTACAAGCATCCATTTCATGATTCCTGACAGATAACAATTCATTATGAAACTAATATTAACTTAATCATTTGAAAAGAATATGTGATGGAGCATGACACTGTAACAGATAGATACTTAAAGTTTCTCTTTTTATTTAAAACTTAAAAGTCCAAAGTAGCCAACAAGTTTATCCCACAGAAAGAGCCAATTGTCCCCACACAGCTACTGATTCCAACTCCATGACACTTTAACTGCCATCAACAAGTGCCTAAAAGGCTCTTCCCTAATTCCAACAAACTAAGACCTATATGATTTTGAAGCTACTTGATTCAAGGTCGTAAGATGCTTGGAACATATTTTCCTTTAACTCTGCATACATAAAAGTTTATCAAAATTCAAATATTAAAAATTTACATGTGCTGAGCCCCATAAAAGAGAGGTGTCAAGTAAGCAGATGGCATAGAATACAAAACAACTTTGACCAAGCCTTCAGCCTAGATACTTGAAAATTTCCAGCTCTCAGTAAGGCGACTTTGGAAAACATTGACCAAAAAGTAATGATATATAACCTCGAAAAATATGCCTAAAATGCCACTCATTGCCATGCAGATCAGTGGCAACCAATTCCTGCCAAGGTGGCTGCTGGGACATATCCTGGGAAAGGAAGGAATTGCATAAAAATTTCAGAAAAACTCTTAACATATGTGGTATCTCAAAATGAAAATAATTCAATCAATGTGTCTAAACTAACCAGTGGGGGCAGACAATCATCTGCATGCCGACGCAAAACCGAGAATCCACCATGGGTGCTAGTGTCAGAAGCAGTAAGAGTTTTGCAAAATGAATGGACTATGCACCTTTCAGGTTCAGGAAGCGGGGGATCTGAGCTCGTAACCT